AGAGAGGGGGGGGGGGGGGGGGGGGGTTTAAAGTCATTTGAAGGCCTCACATGGCATATTGACAACACCATCTGTTCATTGGTATGATGTTTGTTAATTCGCCAATTGTTAATACAGAGTACCAAAGGGCATACCAAACACCCAACTATCTTATACAGTGTCCAAACATAAATTTGGAATGGAGTTCCAAATGATCTCATATAGTTAGTTTTTGTGCACACTCTATGTATACATTCTTTTAGAATAAAACAAACAGGCTTGTAGGAAAAAATAGGTTCAGGAATGAATTCTTATGCAGTCAGAAATTTAATATGCAGATCCTGAGAGGCCTAAAAATGACAAAGCATCCATCCTAAGTGATACCGTTCAAATGCTGAAGGATTTGACTGCTCAGGTCAGCAGATTAAAATCTGAGTATGCTGCACTTACTGATGAAAGCCGTGAGGTCATCTCTTAATACATTCTGAAAGTAATGCTCTACTTTCTCATTTCATAGCCATAGAAGTTCTTATTGTTTTGTTTTGTTCTCAAGCAGTTGACCCAGGAGAAAAATGATCTCAGAGAAGAGAAGGCGTCTCTTAAATCTGATATTGAGAGCCTTAATGTCCAATATCAACAAAGAATGAGGACTATGTATCCATGGGCTGGGATGGATCATTCTATGGTCATGCATCCGCCTTCATATCCGTATCCAATGCCCGTTCCGGTTCCAACTGGACCAGTTCCAATGCATCCATCTCTGCAGCCCTATCCTTTCTTCGGCAATCATAATCCTGCAGTTGTTCCAAACCCTTCATCTTTCGTTCAATACATGACTCCCAATACATTGATTGAACAGCAACCGACTCAGTATATGTCTCCAATTATACAACCAGGTAGTATGACCAGACAAGAATCCAGGAACAAGTCATCAGATCAAGGAGAGAGCAGAATTGAGAAAAGTGAAGATTCCAATGAAGTGGCAACAGATTTAGAGCTTAAGACACCTGGATCTACATCTGAGCAGGTTAGTTAGTACTGCTGATTTACTTGGCCTACTTTCCCTTTTAAAATATCCCAACTTATTTGACCTATTTCTTAAATGGCCAAATATCTCCAATCATTCAAATTAATATTGATTCCACCTTTTTTTTAACCTTTTTGAATAAGGAAATTTATCAAGCTATTCAACTACTCTTATTTTACTCTAGCATTGCCTCATTTTCACTTCTACAAAGCTACTTCACTTTTATATATTTCAACTAGCATATATTTAGTTATTCTGTAATAACGATTCTCATGACCCTTCAAGCTTTCTTTTCTTAATGTATTGTCGGTGAAAGAGCGTTAAATAAAATTGGAGAACAGAGTATCTTCTATGGCCTAAAGGAACTTTGGCAAATTAAATATACCATCATGACATGCTTGCAAATTCTGCAGGACCTTTCATCTGGACAAAAGAAATCCAGAAAGTTGCCAAGGAAGGATAACAGCCTCACCGATGGAAGTTCCTCAAGTAAATGTTCATCATCCCATAGTGTACATGCTGTTTCTTCAAATAGTGTAGTTAGGGGAACAAAGACGGGTGATTGACGTTTGAAACCGAATAGGAACCAGGTTATTACCATTTTAATTACTTTTCCTTTCTAGCTTCTTCTGCTCCATCTGTTGTATAAAAAGGTTTACAGATAGAGAGTCAGGGAGCTGTTGCTAATGCAATGGGTTTCGAATTTGGATATTTCTCATGTATCCCTAACAGTTCTAAAGGGCCGTCACATGGGAGACCAGAACTGTGTTCATATAAGAGAAATAGTGAATGAAAGGGAAAGCTAGCTTCCCTCCATGAACTAATGGTGATACTTAGTGCCATAACATCCATCGCCTCACATACCTAATCCTTAAACATATCTACAAAATTGTATCCCTTTGGGGTGTGAATGTTTTGATGAATTAAGAAGGGTTAGTTTTGTTGTTAATACTATTTGAATCTTGGACTCTCACAAAGACCCGCCTAGTTGTACTGGAACTTTCAGTGAACCTCACACTTCAAGGCCCCAATGCATGATACAAGTATAAAATAGGTTTTCCATTTTGATCTACAGGGAAGATCCATAGTTGCCTGTAAATGTGAAGGATTCATCATTGGAGTTTATGTTTACTATTTCAGGCAGCTCTTTGTTGACATGGGAAAAGCTAACTTCTTTTATGCAAGTTTTCAAGTCTAATTTCACGTCCAAACAGAGGAATGTGATTTGGTGTAATATGCTAATTTGACCGATATTAGTAGATAAAACGAATTCCCCCCC